CTAAAAGCTGCCATGACATTTAATTATTACAATTGATCATTTTGAATTTAGATTAAAGAGTACAAGTACTGGGTAGACCAATATGCAGTTAGCATCTAACCGGACGTGCAAGAGGAGCAGTACAATGCAGTGTAATAAGTATGAGTATATAATATCATCGATATAAGAGCTAAAGTATATACAGAATTAACAGTATTATTAGATATGAACACTATGAATAAAATGCAGAGGTGAACCAGGTCACTCTTTAAAACTTACTTTTTATATTATACATTAATACAGTGAGCTTGTACTGCCTTATATATACAGCAGCGACGTGCAGTCAGGGGAGGCAGGGGAGGCAGAGCCTGACCTGTCATACTCCAATGTAACGGAAAAACAACTAAGAAAACTAAATAGTAATAATAATAAAATGTCCTCCACTGTGTTGAAAGTGTGATTCTGTATGATTCCAATCGCTTTTTATAGTCAAAATCAGCAAATTTGCCGAGCTCCGCTACGGGAGCGATGAGAAGTGAGGCAGGGACGTGCTCTGCCTCTCGTAAGCCCACAGTAACTTGCTGGAGCGCGGGCACTAATTTAGCGCCGGCACTTATTTTGTGAGCGCGCTCAAGCCATTTACTGTGGGGTAAGGTGAGGCACAGATGAGCTCTGCCTCACCTCAGAATGCGTCACCCCACAGAAACTGGCTGGAAAGCGGGCACTAAGCGCATGCCTGTTACCATCTCACTGTAGGTCACAAATGTAATGTTTGTAGATCCCTTTATTACATTTATCCTCGCCATCCATAGTCTCTAAATAACTTATTTCACGTATATATGATATTTAGGCTCGCTGGTATCATCATACAACGGCAATGAAAAAAGCACCAGGGAGGCAGCCATAACCCTCTGTCGCACTGAAGGGGGCGCACGTGAGCCCACAGGTTCTTGTTGCTACTGTTATTCTACGCAGAGACGGTAGACGCAAACAACAAACTAGACTTTTGAAGAAGATAAGGAGGACTTTTACAAAAAAGTAATAGAGATTGTTGTCCAGAAGGATAGCATGGACTTCATCTTCAAGTCAAGGTAAGACCACATTTGTAATGAAAATGGGATCTTACTAAGAAAGAACAATCCAATATTTAGATTTTGGGTATCCTTTTGTTGAACGGTCTGTTTAAAATGAATCGAAGCATCAGACTAAAAAAGCTTTTGAAAATAACCACCGAATATTTCGATTAAGGTCAAAATATAATATTTGTAAATCTGACTCAGAAAGAGTCAGTGCCTCACCAGCCATGAACCTCACCGCACGTCACTGATATACAGTATATATCTCGTATTACACACGTTTGAAAGCAAATAAAACACACTTTGATTAAACCCAACAGTCTCTCCTCTGGTAAAGTCTGACTGTTGTTGCCCCCTAATGGCAGCCTATCATACCGTCTCTATATTCATTAAGCACATTTACAGAGATACATAAGTAGGTCTACCTTGGTTGCTGATTGGCTAATGGTTACACAAGACAAAAAATCGTCATGACATCATAAAGTGGCCAAAATCTGATCAGCTCATTTTCAGACAGGTTTTTATATAAATGGATCAGGACAAAAAGTGAGAGAATCTTTTTTCCTGAAACTTTCAGAGTCTCTTTACACAGAGGGGACACATGTTTATGTATACTGTAAGCATGGGCGTAATTTCCACTGGGGACAGGGGGGACATGTCCCCCCCACTTTTCAAAATCCCATTTGTGTCCCCCCCACTTTTTTATTTTATTTTTTTATTTTTTTATTTTTTTTACACAAGCGGTCATCGTCACGGAGGAGCGTCTGTGTGTGTGTGTGGCACGAGCGCATCTTGTGAGAGAGAGATAGAAAGAGAGAGAGACAGAGAGAGAGAGACATAGAGAGTTACGGGGGTTGTTGTTAGCATTTGGTGCTAGCTCGGAGCTAATGGAGATTAGTAGCTGTTTCAACAATAAGGAGAGGAGAGCTCTTTCCTGTCGGACTTTGAGAGGACATGAGATAGAGAGAGAGAGAGAAGAGAGGAGAGAGGAGAGAGAGAGAGAGAGAGAGAGAGAGAGAGAGAGAGAGAGAGAGAGAGGAGAGAGAGAGAGAGAGAGAGAGAGAGAGAGAGAGAGAGACAGAGAGAGACAGAGAGAGAGAGAGAGAGACTGGGAGAGTTACGTGGGTTGTTGTTAGCATCTGGTGCTAGCTCGGAGCTAACGGAGATTAGAAGCTGTTTCAACAATAAGGAGAGGGAGAGTCCTCTCCTGTCGGACTGAGAGAGATAACGTCAGCTTCAGGGAGGTAAAGGACTCTCTGAGTGATTTAGGTTGTTAAACTTTAGTCTAGTTATCTCAGTGGGTCTCAAACGGTTTGGTCATCTATGTAAACAAATATTTCCATCTATGTAATATATAGTTTGTATATAAAATAAGTTAAGAAATCCTTCCCAATGTGTACTATAGGTCAGTACAAAAATAAAAAACACAGTTGAAAAGGGGAAGTGATTAGTCAAATATGCATAAATAAAAAGAAAAAATGCAGACTAGGTAAGATAAAGATAGGAGAGAGGAGTTTATCAATGATTTGTTATTGGTTGTGAGCATATTCTAATGGCTTTTTGATTATTGAAATATATACAGTTCTGTTTCATATGAGTGTTGAGAACTGTATCCATAAATCTCTTAATGTTGCCCTCAAAGTGCATCAGATTGATGCATTCAACTTCAATTTAAAGAAACAAATCTTCCCGGGGTGCATGCCCCCGGACCCCCCTAGAGGATGTCAGCTAATCACAAATAAAACAGGTTCACATGGATAGGATACTAGATAAGTGTGCACACTCATTATATACACCACACATTTTTTCTTGGATTTGTTAAACACTATAGTCCCTAATATATTGTAGAAAGGCAGGAAATGGAATTAAATTGAGAAAATATTTCATTGCGGAGGACCCCCTGTTTTGTGTCCCCCCCACTTCTCAAACCAAAGTTACACCCTTGACTGTAAGAGACAGGAAAAAGTGGATTTTGCATAATAGGTGACCTTTAAAACACACATTGTTGATCCTTCTGTTTGCTTATTTTTCAAATGGCCTCTTTGTTTTTCTCCATAGAATGTATTTACAATGTGTGCAGTTAGTTAGAGTATCATCGGGTGGGGGCTCAGCAAAGTTGTTTAATTTGGAGCTTGTGAAAAATCCACATTCACGGGACAGGAGGGAGCCCCGTGACTACTACAGCTACGTCATCACGCTGTCGGTGCTGCTTTCATCATCCAGCTCCTGACCCCGAACAGACAAAGATCCTCGTGCAGTGAAGAGCTCTCACTCTGATATAAATTTGGAGGACCAAGTATTAAGACTCCGCCAGGGCTAGTTACTTAGTTATCTCAGGAAGATCACATAGGACACACACAAAAAAAAATCGTTCAAAATTCTGAGAAAAAAGGCAGTATTCTGAGATTTTCAGAAAAAAAAACGTGATTATTTCTTTTATTGTGAAACAAATAAATACGTTTTTTCTCAAAAAAAAAAAGATATGACTTTCTTTCACAGAATTCATTTTGTTTTTTTTACTTTGAGTTACATCCCCATAACACTCTCGCGTGGCCCTCATCCTTTTCCGTACTGTTTTATTTGTATGAATACATAAATAAGTTGCTCTGAAGCTCACGTGAGAAGCAAAACAAGACTGAGTGGAGGAAGACGAGAGCGCATGCGCGGGAATCAACGTCTATCTTAGTGCAGACCGGAAGGTGGAAACGAATTTCTCTAAGAGTAATTCATCCTCTCGACGTAGAGACCATCTGTGTATCTGAACAGGTTGGTTGCTACTGTTATCGAAGGACATCTTCGGTGCACTTCAACCAAAGAGGTCCGTTTATAACCTTTTATTATCCTTCAGAGTCAGCATCCCTTAAGGAGCTGGAGTACGGAGGTGAGTCCTTACTAGCATCTTCCTGTTAGCTTAATGCTGTGGGGAAAAAAGGAGGAAAAATTGTCGTTTTTCCTGCTTTCCTCCTCTCATTTCAAATGTGTTCAGTTACTGGTGTTCCTGTATTTATATCGCGTTAGTTAGGTAAAGGAGACGTGAGGAAACGTGCAGTTGCTCAACAGTGCGTCAGAGATCTGATTCACAAACATTACATTCATCATTTATAATTATCATAGTTAACACCAACATATGCTTTGTTAAGTGTGTCTGAATCAGTGGTGAAATGTAACTAAGTACATTTAATTAGGTATTTGTACTTCACTTGAGTATGTTCACATTATACTGCTTTATACTTTTACTCTGCTACATTTTGGAAGCACATTGTTTACTTTTTACTCCACTACATTTAACACATTTAGTTACTAGTAGCTACTATAAATCAACTAATAATCCTCACCTTTACCGAGTGCAACATTGACATGAATGGATTAATAATGATTATAATACAAATATGAAATATTTCTGATATAGGCCATACTGGAAAATTAGTACTTTTGGTACTTTAAGTATGTTTAGTTACCAAAACGTTTGTGGTTTTACTCGAGTAACATTTTGAAAGCAGGAAACTCTGGACTGTAACAGAGTATTCCTACACTCTGGTACTTCTACTTTTACTCAAGTACAAGATCTGAGTACTTCTACTTTTACTCAAGTACAAGATCTGAGTACTTCTACTTTTACTCAAGTACAATATCCGAGAACTTCTACTTTTACTCAAGAACAAGATTTGAGTACTTCTACGTTTACTCAAGTACAAGACCTGAGTACTTCTACTTTTACTCAAGTACAAGACCTGAGTACTTCTACAAAGTAGATCAGCATATTTGTTTCTATACACAAAGTGGGAATGTAAAATAAATGTAGTGGAGTAAAACATATGATATTTGCCTCTGTTAACAGCATTTTAGGTCTATCACATTTAATTTACTTTTTGCCACACAAACAACTTTTATCATCAATTTAAACACCTATTATGGTAATTTAATTAATTAATTAATGACAAAAAGCGTTATTAAGTTGTTGGCATCACCCATTGATGCTAATTGACCTTAAAGTCAGACACAGACACTTTACTTTCTGTTAAAGTTTGACACCAGCTCCTTCTGTCTGCATTTGAACCTCATCAGTGGATTGCCAGTAAGATGGTTAATATTTCTTCAGGCTATCCCCTTAATCAAATATTTGCTATGCTTGCCTTTGCCAAATAAAGGCTCAGTGTTGCCTTTTGGACGTAAACTCTACAGCTCACGTGACAGCACGGCGAAAATAGGAGACATTCATTTAAAAAAAAAAAAAGAAATCTCAAATATGGAAAATACTTTAGACCTTGCACACAGGCTGTTTGCATCACCTTACAATTGATTTTTTACTACAATAAACAGTATATAATTGTACATTTTGTTCTCGTTTACCTTACAGTACATGTATATAGAGAGGCGAAGTCCCGCCCATCTACTGCCGACCCATGGGACCTTATTTCGGAAAAATTATGTATTGAAGTCAATGGAGAGAGAAAGATTATCTTTCGATCCCGTTTGAATTGTGCCACGAATTACACATATGATGTTTGTCAATTTAAAAAATAATTTCCATGTCAAAAAAGTCACAGTTTGTCGTAAAACTGTTGAAATATAAGACTATGAAAAATACGCAACTAGAAAGACTACAAATCCCAGAGTCCCGGTCCCGCATGCTGGCTCTTACAGAACCGACTAACTCCCCTTGTGTGTATGTACAGCTCTCAACATGCCCAGACTTGGAGTGATTTTCACCTCTTTTAATACTTTCCGCCTCATTCTGAAAGAAAGAAGTGAAATGTGCCAACGTGACGGCCGTCTTGGTGTGTGGTGCGAGACGGGAGATGTAGTTCATTGAGCGGTTTCACACAAAAAAAAGTGTTACTTCACAGTTTTACGACACATTTGAATTTTTTTGACTTGCAAAATTATCTTTGAAATTGACAAACATCATATGTGTAATTCGTGGCACAATTCAAACGGGATCGAAAGATAACTTTTCTCTCGCCATTGACTTTTTCCGAAATAAGGTCCCATGGAGCACCCCCGGAAAGGGACAGACTTCGCCTCTCTATGGACTCCTGCATTTACTGGGTCACCTTCAACATTCTCTATTGTATTTGATCTTGCATATGTATAGTTTACTTCATCTGCATTACTTGCACATTGGTCAAGTTTATTCTTGCACTGTTTTATTGAGTTTGAAATATGTTTTATTGTTTTATTTCTTATTTATGTTGCATTGTTGGAGGAGCCTTAGACTTAAGACAGATAGATACTTTATTTATCCCAAATTGGGGAATTATTTTGTCACAGAAGCATTGTTGTCAGGCATTACACGAGTTAAACATATAAAACATTAGCGGCAAGTATATATAAGAAAAAAAGAAGCCAGATAAAACAGATAAAGCCAGAAATCTAGGTGTAGTCATGGACTCTGACCTGAGTTTCAACAGTCACATTAAAACAGTTACTAAATCAGCCTACTATCACCTAAAGAACATATCTAGGATTAAAAGACTAATGTCACAGCAGGATTTGGAAAAACTTGTCCATGCTTTTATCTTCAGTAGACTCGACTACTGTAATGGTGTCTTTACAGGTCTCACAAAAAAATCTATTAGAAAGCTGCAGCTGATTCAGAACGCCGCTGCTCGAGTCCTCACTAACACTAAGAAAGTGGATCACATCACTCCTGTTCTGAAGTCCTTACACTGGCTTCCTGCGTGTCAAAGAATTGATTTCAAAATACTGCTGCTGGTTTATAAAGCTTTGAATGGTTTAGGCCCAAAATACATGTCTGACCTCCTGCTAAATTATGAACCATCCAGATCTCTCAGGTCTTCAGGGACTGGTCAGCTTTCTGTCCCCAGAGTCAGAACTAAACATGGTAAAGCAGCATTCAGTTATTATGCTCCAAATATCTGGAACAAACTCCCAGAAACCTGCAGGTCCGCTGCAACTCTTACTACTTTTAAATCCAGGCTGAAGACTTTTCTTTTTGTCGCTGCTTTTAATTGAGCTATTCACATCTTAAACTGCACTGTAACTTTTATCCATGTATTTTTTTCTTTTAATGTTTATTTTATTATCTTTTCTTTTTAATGACTGATTTTAAATGCCATTTTCTTAATGTCTTCCATTTTTGTAAAGCACTTTGAATTGCCTTGTGTTGAAAGGTGCTATATAAATAAACTTGCCTTGCCTTGCCTTGCCTTTCAAATAGGGATATCCCGATCACCTTTTTTTGCTCCCGATCCGATTCCGATCATTTGATTTTGACAATCTGCCGATACCGATTTTTCCCGATCCGATCTTTATGCAATGCATTAAGAGAAAAAAAAGGAAAAAAGCATTCAAGTTGTCCCTTAAGGTTATTTTTCTATTTAAATGACAGTACCCAACTACCCATTCTATCCAACATGGATATAGCTTCTTTTTTTCACAGCAGCATTGGATCAGTTCAGTTGTGCAGCATTGGATCAAAACAAAATAAAGCTTATCAGTAGTCCACCACAAAATAACCATGTAAACAAATTGAGTGCAGATAGTGCAGTAACAAAACAAAAATAACTCTACTGGAAAGAGGTAGCTTGACTAGCTTCACAAGTTCACAGATTTGAGAGAAATAAGCAACCAGTCGATGAAAACAAGCCCAAAAGAAGCAACACATACATGATGTTGTGTAATTTTAAACCAAAACTAAGGCCTCAGGATGACTTTAAGATGTGAACATGGTCATTTTTGTTTTGTAACATTAAATAAAATAATAAAAATATTTTATTAAAAAAAAAAAAAAAAAAAAAAATCCCGATTCCGATCTTTTGAAAATCACGTGATCGGGGATCGGAGCCGATCACGTGATTTTCAAAAGATCGGAATCGGGATTTTTTTTTTTTTTTTTTTTTATAAAATATTTTTATATTTTTTTTTATATAATATTTTCGGATCGGGACATCTCTACTTTCAAAGTTTATTTATATTAGCCAAATATCACAAAACATGTTTGTCTCAGTGGGTTTTTACAGATTAACAAACATGCATGACAGGGCAAAAAGATAAATACAAGAACAACCGGAAAATAATGAAAAAGACAACACAGTGTAGAATAATAATACAAGATACAACAAGACACAATCAAATACCATAAAATAAAGACACCCAGGAGGACGAGCATGGGGAATAATCTGAAAGCAGCTCTAACTATAGGCTTTAAGCATTTGATCATGTTGAATCATGCTTGTGTTTCCTTCTCTGCAGAAACAGGAAGTGCAGACTGAAGGAATGAAGATATACCGGCTGCTGAAGAAGATGAAGCGTGAGAGATAATCGACAAGGGAGAGACACACACACACACACACACACACACACACACACACACACACACACACACACACACACACACACACACACACACACACATCTTCTGCTATGGAGGAGGAAGAAGCTGCAGCTGGGGAGGAAGCAGAATCCACGCTGATGTACCGGATCGAGCGTCCGGTTTACGATGAAGCTTTCATACGTTCAACCGTTCTCAAACGCAGAGAAAACTCCACCACGCTCCGAGAGAGGCTGGCAAAGCACTTCAGGTCAGTTTATATACAAGATAATACAAGAGAGCTTCATTTGTAAAGGACTCCTATGCACACGTTTATGCACAACCCTCCAAATTCAACCCCCTGCAGTTTGTCATATAAGACAAGATAAGCTTTATTAATCCTAAATTGGGACATGTAGTCATTACAGCAGCATGTAAAACAAGGGGTTAGAATAATGAACAAAGCGGGTCTAGTCCAAACTGAACATTTTACTATATATTAATGCAGCCGTTTACATCAAGAACGGTAGCTGTATTGAAAACATGCACTCGACCTCTCGTATTCATTTTCAATATCAACAAACTGGAAAAACACAGAGCAGGAAACATCTTCAAAAGCACTTCCTGTCAAACAATTCAAAGTTAAACAGAATTATTACCCTCATATTTAGAGGTAAATCAGGTAACAATATGCTTCGACATTTCTCCTGTAACTTATGTCAGTAAGCAAATGAACAAATGATTTGAATCAAACAAGTTACAGGAACAGTCTACATTATTATTTCCTTAAATGACTGAAGAGTTAATCCCCTTCCCTTCTTCCACAGGTGTTCTTCAAAGAGAGCGAAGGCAGCAGTGTTCAGCTTCCTGCCGATCCTCACCTGGCTGCCGTCATATCCTGTGAAGGAGTTCCTGTTTTCAGACGTGGTTTCAGGTCTCAGCACCGGAGTCGTGCAACTTCCTCAAGGTCAGTGCTCTCTGAAATCCTTTTGAGACATAAACTCACTTCAAAACATCAAATCAAGCTAATAAAACAACATTAAAGGTCACCTATTAGGCAAAATCCACTTTTATACATCAACACGTGTCCCCTCTGTTTAAAGAGACTCTGAAAGTTTCAGGAACAAAGATTCTCTCTCTTTTTCCCTGATCCATTTATATAAAAACCTGTCTGAAAATGAGCTGATCAGATTTTGGCCACTTTATGATGTCATAACGATTTTTTGGCTTGTGTAACCATTAGCCAATCAGTAACCAAGGTAACCCCCCCCACCTGATCACCTGAATCTCCTCCTAGAGCACCATTAGCCGCTTTCACACCAAGTACTTTGCCGTACTTAGTTCCCTGCACTTAGTAACCCCATGGAACTAAAGAGCCGATCGCGTTCACACCGGAGTAAGTCCCCTAAGAGAAGATTACGCAAATGAAGCCACTGACGTAATTTCTTCTTCTTCTGCTTTGGGTTTACTGGCAGGCCGCAAACAACTTCACGGCGTATACTGCCAACCGAAGTCCCCGGCCGGAAGTCCCCGGAGTTGGGGACTATTTTGTTATTTTTAACCAAATATCTCGCAGAGGGGCGTGGGGAGGGGCTCCTTATTTTCATCTAAAGTAACAGACAGAGAATCAGCACTTTTGAAACAGGGCTGAAACAGAGGGGATTATGGGATGCTGCAATGATCTGTTTGGTGTTTCAGCCAATCAGAGACATGGTTTGTATATATCTGAGACCTATAATATATTGATGAAAAACAGTATGATAGGGGACCTTTAATTCCACAAGGTCAGTGCTCTCTGAAGTCCTTCTGAGACATGAACTCACTTCAAAACATTAAATCTCTCCAGTAGATTTTTACACCCTATGAGGAAAATCTCCCTACTGATGCACGTGATTTGTACGTGTGTAAATCACGAGTTTTATCAGGATACAATTTAACATCAAATCTTTGGACAACCATTTGATATTTTGCAGATAATAATGACAATACATTTTATTTTCAAGCGCTTTATGAGGTGCTCGAAGACCCTTTAGGGAAATATTAGGCAGGAAGCGGTAAAGCTGTTAAAGTCAACTTTATAAATCAATCTGTGTGTGGTACAGACAAGGAGACTGAGATGCTGTTTATCACCATCCCGAAGATTACAAATATATACTTATGTGTATATTTACATACATATCCAAATAAAAATGAAAAGGCACAACAATAAATATATAAAAATAGCAGTCTTCGCTCAATTCGACCTGACACAGTTTTAAAGGTCACCTATCATGCTATTTTTGGGCAATAGCATAGGTCTCAGATATATAACAATATATAAAAAACATGTCTATGAAGTGTTTTGCTCAAAATACCAAACAGATCGCCCATTCTAGCCATGCCTCATATCCCTCTATTTCACTTCCTGTTTCAAAAGTGCTGATTTGGGGTATAAAGCTTTAAAATTGATAAAAAATACAAAAGGAGGGGTCTGAGCTCATGCGGGACCCGGCAGCTACTGTCTAAACTAAATACTGCGGTGATGAAACGCCATATCATGGACTATCAAGGATTGTTTCTGAAACAGTATGGAGCTCAAAGGCTTTCTCTCTTGCCGGTTATACCACAAGGTGAGTTCCTTTTTATTTCCTGCTTCTTCACACACATGCTCTCCAGTACAGGTTAGCTCTGAGTGTTAGCCATGCTAATGTAAACACCGACCATATTACGTCCAAAACAGTCGGGCATTGTTTCTGATAGCAACGTTTCTGATAGGGCCGTGGGTCCACATTTCAGATATTACGTCATATCGGACGCAAATCTGGATCAGCTCCGTTGTAGCCCCGTTTTTAGAGATTTGGGTACGGAGGAAAAGAGAGAGGGTTTTATTTTCTGACGCTGCGTGAGTTCCCTGACACACCGGGGACACATATTTATGTATGAAAGACATCAAAAAGTGCATTTTGCATGATAGGTCCCCTTTAAGTGTAGTCTGGTACATTAAAACGGATGAATAAATAACAATTGAATAACGATTGAATATATGACAACAGTAATATAATCACATTACTGATACACTTGAGTTGTACGGTTGTAAATAACATATTTAATTTAACCATTTGATATTTTCTGATTTCACAAAGTCCGCCACAATACGATTTCGACTTGATTATTATTCAATTCAAGGGCCTGCAAATGATATGAGACGATATCTATACAATTTGACATGTTAATGTTCAATAATCTACTCCTTATTTACAAGAAACGTTTAAAAAGGAACCTCCTGTTCACCATAAAGTGCCACATTACTCATGTTAAAGCTCTGTTTGAATCATTAAGGGCGAGGTGTACTGACAGGGAAATGGTGACACATTCATGATTTCATAATAGATATTTCCTCCTAACATGGATGGTAATTTATTAATAACCATTGTAGCAATACGCCCTAATTCATGTGTCACCCCTGTATGTTTGTTATCTTAAAAAACAGACAGATAAAGCTAGAAATGTTAAGTATTTCTCAGCATTGTTCATTAGCCACAAGCTACGTCAACCCAGCTCGTTTCATCTGGACTGACATGAGGTTTTAATGTGTGAAAGTCCATCTGCCGGCTCCTGCGGTTCTGTTTTCAGCGTCACACTGTCTCTGTTTTGGTATCTCTGCAGCTCTGATGCAATCTGTTGGCTTCTGGCACTGTGAAGTTTATTTGAACCCCCCTCTCTCTCCTCTCCCCCCTTCCTCTCCACAGGTTTAGCCTACGCCATGCTGGCTGCTGTGCCTCCAGTGTATGGTCTGTACTCCTCTTTCTACCCCGTCCTTCTCTACACCTTCTTCGGCACGTCCAGACACATATCAGTAGGTGAGAATTAAACCAGAAGGAAGGTTTGCTCTTGGTCATAAATCTCCTCCTATCGTGACTTTATATCTTAAAGGTAGGGTAGGTAAGAATGGAGAAACCAGCTCGAGTGCGTTAGAATTTGAAAATACACAACCGAAAAAAATCTGCCCCTTCCTTCAGACTTCCTTACAGAGCCCCTCCTCCAACACACACGAACGCGCACATGACCAATGAGGGCACGAGATAAGTTTGTGCACAGATGGAAGGCTGACAGGCAGGTAGGCCATCCAGTTATTTTAGCCGGGCCAGCTCAGATGATTGGTCGTGCTTTTTACAGTACCACGGCTTCCACAGATGACATTTTGTATATATTTATTGTCAAAGCATTTAATGTATTCATTGCTATCGGGATGTTAAGAGCATTCCATGGAATATAACAAAAAGTGTTTCTGAAGTGAATTACCTACCCCACCTTTAAGTGTGTCTTTTTTTACACAATAACACGGTCACATGAATAATGATGTACTCCCTGGCCTTGGAGGTACTGCTTTTGTTTACTATTATAAGCGAATGTGCTCCATATGCTAACAAGTACAGTTAATGTTAGAGAAGATAAACACAGTACTGAATTATTCCTAACACTTTCTAGGCTTGGAGAGACTCTCCGGAAACTCCTTTTAATGATAATCATCACTTTTTTTTACAACAGCAGAATGTTCACCACTTCCACATGTGGAGCAATCCAGACCTTTAGTTGGCCAACTGTCCCATAAATATCTTAACGCATGTTCTTTCCGTTTTTAATAATATATCTTGCATTGTTTGAGAAGGAAAAACAAATTTAACCAACGTGTCCTCAGCTGACTTGAGACACAGGATTGTGAAACCAAACACCCCTCCCCACCCCTAGAAAGAGCTTCTAGTGATCTCAAATGTCAGCTCTGAGCTACGAGTCCTTATGAACATGGGCACAACAAACTAAACCTGCCTTATGTTGATTAAAATAATTAAAAAAGAGTTGAATCTGAACTTTAAATTGGTGTCTGGCCTGACGGGACGTTTTTTTGTGCACATGATGAACCTTTGATTTATAGCAGAGAGGGAGATGGAAATAACTGGGCTGCTGTTCAAGTGCTGGACAAATGACCTTTTCACACACACACACACACACACACACACACACATACATACATACATACACACACACACACACACACACACACACACACACACACACACACACACACACACACACACACACACACACATACATAGCAGTTGTTATGTCTGTCAAGCCCTCTATTTTACCGGCTGAAAAGACAACGGCAGCTCTTAATTGGTTGAAAATGACTGAAATGAAAAGCTGATTTTGATCAAAGTGAGAACGTTATGTTAAGTGGCCTCAAAGACGCTCTACATGGTTACAAACACATGTGATATCATGCAAATAGAGAGAGACTCAAGGGGGAAAGAACTGGGCTGCTGTTCAAGTGCTGGCCAAATGACCTTTTCACACACTCTCACAAACACACACACATTTAAAGTGCATGCTCACCGTGATACTGTACAGCTCCCAGCATGGACCTCAGTGTGGCTAAAGTGAAATATGTCAAGACAAAGTGATGTTTGTCTTCATTGTTTGCTCTGGAGTTACCACAGTTTCCTGAGGCTGATAAGAGACTGTTTGTCCAGAGTCATGACACATGTATTTGCCATAATGTGCCAATGCAAATCAAATAAACTCTAACCCTATGTAAATAGGCGTAAATCCCCAGGAGCTATCTGTACTTTTATTATAGTTACAGCTTGAGTAGGAGTCATAGGCCCAATCCCAATCCCACATATTTTCCAAGGCCCCTAACTTTGACCCAGTGTATCAGTTCAAACTGTCCTGACTGAGCCCACGCACCTGTAGCCTTGGGCTGCTGTGCTCTCAGTGTTTCGTCTCCCTGTTCCTGCCTGATGGCGTCAGCTGATAGAGGTGTTATGATTCTATCTTGTTATGCACAGTGTTGATTATTCTCTCTGAACTAGCTAAATACACGGGTCTGGGGTAGAGTTCTTCAGAATTGACGTGGCAACTCTACCGTGAAGTCAGAACCTCTGGCTCTTGGACTTGTTTTGTGAATTCTCCGGCCGAAGCTCCAAATAAACCCATCAGTGTTTGCCATCAAAGCTCCAGCTCTCCCCCGTGTCTCCTTTTGAGTCGGTGGCTCCTCCTGCATTGCTACACAGAAGTTTCGCCCACAATCATGTGGTTGTTAACATCGCAATTTATCAGTGGATGTTTGCTGGAACTGTTTGTAAACAGCGTGTTACCTGACGGACACACACAGCGTTGAGTCTGGTCAGATAGAGACTGGTCTCAAGTCAGCACCGCTGCAGACTCGCTGTTTGAGGGCTTGATAGCCCACTCCTCACCGCTCCACACTCGTTGGTTTGGAACAGCACTTAATGTGGCGGACCCTCCGTGCGAATGCGCAAACGGAGGGGTAGTGTGTAGGGCGTGGTTTGGGATTGGGCCATAGTCTGTGTGTAGTCACGCAGTTGCCATCTTTGTTTTTGGGGCTCCGCTTACTTTCTTCTGCAATTTCTATTAATATGGATGTTTAATCAACAAGTCACTGTTCTTACAAATAGTCCTTAACACACTCGGGTTGCTCTCCACAGTCAGAGCCATGAACAGTATATTAAGGAGCTTAAACTGCCAACTCACAGCAGGTACAGCTCATTAAACTATCCACGTATTCACTTGTTACACAAAAGTCATTGGATGAAAAGAAAATGTCACGTCATGATTATCCTCGCCAGAATATTGGGTGCTAAGATTGAAAGAAAACCAAAAACATTATATATTCTATACAGCCCTTACACAATGACAGAGGAACAATCTCTCTCTGGACAAAACATAAAATAGGAACTGAAATCTGAGCATTTTTAAAACAATTTATAATCCAAACAATGACGATCTAGAGCAAAAAATCTGAAAGCAGATAATTATGATTATCCTGACAATCAAAAATCACCACAATAAACTTATTGTGATTGTTTTCTATATGATATTTTTGTCTTTGATATAAATCCTTAGTCATTCCATCTGTTCTCACTTCCTCAAATAAGGAAGTGTTTGATCTGTGACACAAGCAGCACAATATGGACATTTCATCTCAGCAATCTGAACACTTCCAAGAAAAGGGCTTCAAGCCGTCGTCATTTCAGGTGTTAAGGCACGGACACACCAGATTATCGGCGTCGCTCAGCGTCAGGCCGACGGTGAGCGTCGACACGCCCTACTCAGATTGGTGTGTCCCGCACCGTCGGGTCTTTTCAGCCGGGCCGACGCCTTTTCGGCCGGAATCGGCGGGCAGTCGGCCAAAGGCAGTCGGCAAAAGAAATCACTCTGATTGGCTGTTCAGCTAGCGAATCAGTGCATGAGAAGCGAAACGGAAGTGAGGGACCCAAACAAACTATTAAGAAGGCAAATCTGAGATTTCATTTAACTCCAGCTCTCGACACAGGTTCGGGAAAGCCCCATGAGCTTCTCGCTGTAGAGTGAAAATGGAACGCACACGCTATTTGTTGTTTGTTTATATCACGCAGTCTGTTCTTCTTCTCTCTGTGTATCACGCAGTCTGTTCTTCTTCTCTCGGTGTATTACGCAGTCTGTCTTCCGGTTGTTGCCTCTTTTGAATGACGAATACACACTACCGCCGCCTGCTGGTAAGGAGAGTTATTGCCACTCACGCATGCGCAGTTCGTACGTGCTTCTTGGCCGTCGGCTGAAGTCTTTGCGGTGTGTTCCAGTGCGACACATGGCCAAGACGCAGGAGACGCGAGGCGACACAACAGTCGGGGGTCCGTCTGTGTCAGTTCTTTGTTGTCAGATTGGTGTGTCAGGGCCTTTACCTTCATACCAAATGAAAAAATGGGCTCAATAAACTAACCCAGTTTCTAGCTGAGTAATTGATGATCCTCTTAAACCTCTGGCAGAGAGTGAGAGGGAATAACTGGGCTGCTGTTCAAGAGCTGGGCAAATAACCTTTTCACTTAAAGAGGTGCTTCATGATCCCTCAGTTATAGCATCATTAAACTGTATGTAGATACTTTTTACTGCTCTGTTAGTGTACCGTTTTATTATTATGCTGCTGTGTTTATTATATTTTTGTAACTCTGGCATTTTTGTAACTAAGTCCTATCTTATCTCTTATCTTACTTCACTACATCTAAAAGGGAAATAGTGTAATTTTACTCCACTACAATTTGAATACTTCCACCACTGCCTATCAGCATACCATATGACGGTGTGTGTGTGTGTGATCTGCAGGTACCTTTGCAGTGATAAGTCTGATGATCGGGGGTGTGGTAGTGAGGGAGGCTCCGGACTCCATGTTCTTCTTCCCGCCGGTGAACGGATCCAACATGTCTGCCGTCCTGGACGTGGAGGCCCGGGACGCTCGGAGGGTCCAGGTGGCCGTCGTGCTCACTACGCTGGTGGGAATCATCCAGGTGAGTGAGGGGACCAGCTCTCAGACAGAAAGACACCAGAGATGCTGTCATACACCTGTAACAGTAATTACATCACTGGCTTATTGTTCGATGCTTGGATGTGACCTCGATATCGCCCATAAACAGCTCATTTTTATATTATTAGATTTAGGCATTATGTAGACTTTGCAAATTGTTGTTACCGGAGCCAGGGGGTGCATTTTATTTTTTCTTTCAGCTGTGTGTTAATATATTTAAATATACATATTTATTTATTTACCTATTTGTTTTTTTATTTACTTGTTTATTAATGTATTTATTTATTTATCTTTTTTTTAACTTATTATTTACGTATCATCTATTTAATTTTTATTTATTTATTTATTTACTTAAGCATTTATTTATTTACTTATTATTTACTTAAGTATTTATTTATTTATTTCTTATTACTTTACTTATTAATTACATTGAAGTATTTATTTACTTAGTATTTATTTATTTACTTATTTATGTTACTTATTTATTTATTTATTTACTTAAGTATTATTTATTTACTTATTACTTACTTACTTATTTACTTACTTATTTATTTATTTATTACTTATTATTTACTTATTATTATTTATTTATTTATGTTACTTATTTTACTTATTTATTTACTTACTTAAGTATTTATTTATTTACTTATTTACTTACTTATTTATTTATTTACTTAAGTATTTATTTATTTATTTACTTATTTACTTACTTATTTATTTATTTACTTAAGTATTTATTTATTTATTTACTTAAGTATTTATTTATTTACTTATTTACTTACTTACTTATTTACTTACTTATTTATTTATTTATTTATTTACTTATTTATTTACTTACTTAAGTATTTATTTATTTATTTACTTATTTATTTACTTACTTAAGTATTTATTTATTTATTTACTTACTTACTTATTTACTTACTTACTTAATTATTTATTTATTTGCTAATTATTACATTTACTTATCCATCCATCTATTTATTTACTTATTTAGTTATGATATATATAAAAAAAAAAAATTGAGATTCCAATGTCTGATTATTTCCATTTCAATGCTCTTTCCAAGGGTGTACTCTCATTACTATTCCTCTATATTAAAATATCCTATATAATGCTATTAAAATAGGGTTTATTGCAGTTATTTCTGGGGCAATATATCATCTAAAAGAATGAGTAACCAAACAGACCTTTTGATTTGGTCTGTTTGGTTAACACCTCACACTGAAGGTCGCTGACATCTTGTGTTTACCCAAAGCAGCAGGAAGTCTGGATCTGTTGATGTTTCAGCACCTTGAGCACATGTTTTTATTGGAAACAAAACTCTGTAGCGCCTCGCCTAACCTTTTTTTATTCTAACCTTTTGTGCTCTTAACCTTTTTTATATTACCATAATTGATTCAATATGCTCCTTAGATAACTTATTGTGTTTTCTCCTCATAGCATTTTGAAGCACCTTGAGATTACGTTGGTTTTAAAGTGTGCTATATCAATGAAATGTATTATAACCTCTTCCTTCCTTCCTTCCTTCCTATCTATCTATCTATCTATCCATCTATCCATCTATCCATCTATCCATCTATCCATCTATCCATCTATCCATCTATCCATCTATCCATCTATCTATCTATCTATCTATCTATCTATCTATCTATCTATCTATCTATCTATCTATCTATCTATCTATCTATCTATCTATCTATCCATCTATCCATCTATCCATCTATCCATCTATCCATCTATCCATCTATCCATCTATCCATCTATCCATCTATCCATCTATCCATCTATCCATCTATCCATCTATCCATCTATCTATCCATCTATCCATCTATCCATCCATCTATCCATCTATCTATCTATCTATCTATCTATCTATCTATCTATCTATCTATCTATCTATCTATCTATCTATCTATCTATCTATCTATCTATCTATCTATCTATCTATCTATCTATCTATCTATCTATCTATCTATCTATCTATCTATCTATCTATCTATCTATCTATCTATCTATCTATCTATCTATCTATCTATCTATCTATCTATCTATCTATCTATCTATCTATCTATCTATCTATCTATCTATCTATCTATCTATCTATCTATCTATCTATCTATCTATCCATCCATCCATCTATCTATCGTTCTATCTATCGTTCTCTCTCTCTCTCTCCCTACCTATCTATCTATCGTTCTCTCTCTCTCCCTTCCAGTTTGTCTTTGGCCTCCTGAGGTTTGGCTTCGTGGCGATCTACCTCACGGAGCCTCTGGTTCGAGGCTTCACTACGGCAGCAGCGGTGCACGTGGTCGTCTCCCAGCTGAAGTACCTGCTGGGGGTGAAAACACCGCGCTTCAGTGGGCCCTTCTCTGCTCTTTTTGTGAGTTTTCATAGAGATTCAAGGCTTTATTCTATTTTATGCGTATTTACTTGCACTATTTGATCTGTGTTGCACGGTTGGAGGAGCCTGTGACCTAAGATGTTCATTGATATATCTACACTGTAGCTATGTACACATGACAATAAAAGCCTTGAAACTTGAATCTTTATTGTCATGTGCACAGTAGCTACAGTGTAGCTATGGCAATGAAAAATGTTAGATCACAGGCTCCTCCAACAATGCACATTATATATATATAGGACATAAAACAAATAAAATAGTTGTACGAATAAACCTACTATCGAACCTACTTGGCAATAAACCTGATTCTGATTTCTGAGTAGAGAAAACTCGCCTTTTGACTTCCTGGTCTCGCTCTTCCTCCAGAGCATCCAGGCGGTGTTCAGCGACATCACGAGCACCAACGTCTCCACCCTGATCCTGGGTCTGGTGTGCATCGTGTTCCTCTACGTCGTCAAAGACCTCAACGAGCGCTTCAAGAAGAAACTTCCCATCCCCATCCCTGGAGAGATTATCGTGGTCATCGTGTCGACCGGCGTCTCGTACGGGATGTCTCTATCAGACGACTACAGCGTGGACGTGGTGGGGAAGATACCATCAGGGTAAACTACATACAATACTTTAAAGGTCACCTATTGTGCAAAATCCACTTCTTCATGTCTCTTCTACATCAACATGTGTCCCCTCTTCTTCACGTCTCTTCTACATCAACATGTGTCCCCTCTTCTTCATGTCTCTTCTACATCAACATGTGTCCTCTCTTCCTCATGTCTCTTCTACATCAACATGTGTCCCCTCTTCTTCATGTCTCTCCACATCAACATGTGTCCCCTCTTCTTCATGTCTCTTCTACATCAACATGTGTCCCCTCTTCTTCACGTCTCTTCTACATCAACATGTGTCCCCTCTTCTTCATGTCTCTTCTACATCAACATGTGTCCCCTCTTCCTCATGTCTCTTCTACATCAACATGTGTCCCCTCTTCTTCATGTCTCTTCTACATCAACATGTGTCCCCTCTTCTTCATGTCTCTTCTACATCAACATGTGTCCCCTCTTCTTCATGTCTCTTCTACATCAACACGTGTCCCCTCTTCTTCATGTCTCTTCTACATCAACATGTGTCCCCTCTTCTTCATGTCTCTTCTACATCAACATGTGTCCCCTCTTCTTCATGTCTCTTCTACATCAACACGTGTCCCCTCTTCTTCATGTCTCTTCTACATCAACATGTGTCCCCTCTTCTTCATGTCTCTTCTTCATCAACATGTGTCCTCTCTTCTTCATGTCTCTTCTACATCAACATGTGTCCCCTCTTCTTCATGTCTCTTCTTCATCAACATGTGTCCTCTCTTCTTCATGTCTCTTCTACATCAACATGTGTCCCCTCTTCTTCATGTCTCTTCTTCATCAACATGTGTCCTCTCTTCTTCATGTCTCTTCTACATCAACATGTGTCCCCTCTTCTTCATGTCTCTTCTACATCAACACGTGTCCCCTCTTCTTCATGTCTCTTCTACATCAACATGTGTCCCCTCTTCTTCATGTCTCTTCTACATCAACACGTGTCCCCTCTTCTTCATGTCTCTTCTACATCAACACGTGTCCCCTCTTCTTCATGTCTCTTCTACATCAACATGTGTCCCCTCTTCTTCATGTCTCTTCTACATCAACATGTGTCCCCTCTTCTTCATGTCTCTTCTACATCAACACGTGTCCCCTCTTCTTCATGTCTCTTCTACATCAACATGTGTCCCCTCTTCTTCATGTCTCTTCTTCATCAACATGTGTCCTCTCTTCTTCATGTCTCTTCTACATCAACATGTGTCCCCTCTTCTTCATGTCTCTTCTCATCAACATGTGTCCTCTCTTCTTCATGTCTCTTCTACATCAACATGTGTCCCCTCTTCTTCATGTCTCTTCTACATCAACATGTGTCCCCTCTTCTTCATGTCTCTCTACATCAACATGTGTCCCCTCTTCTTCATGTCTCTTCTACATCAACACGTGTCCCCTCTTCTTCATGTCTCTTCTACATCAACATGTGTCCCCTCTTCTTCATGTCTCTTCTACATCAACATGTGTCCCCTCTTCTTCATGTCTCTTCTACATCACACGTGTCCCCTCTTCTTCATGTCTCTTCTACATCAACATGTGTCCCCTCTTCTTCATGTCTCTTCTTCAATCAACATGTGTCCTCTCTTCTTCATGTCTCTTCTACATCAACATGTGTCCCCCTCTTCTTCATGTCTCTTCTTCATCAACATGTGTCCTCTCTTCTTCATGTCTCTTCTACATCAACATGTGTCCCCTCTTCTTCATGTCTCTTCTTCATCAACATGTGTCCTCTCTTCTTCATGTCTCTTCTACATCAAACATGTGTCCCCTCTTCTTCATGTCTCTTCTACATCAACATGTGTCCCCTCTTCTTCATGTCTCTTCTTCATCAACATGTGTCCCCTCTTCTTCATGTCTCTTCTACATCAACATGTGTCCCCTCTTCTTCATGTCTCTTCTACATCAACATGTGTCCTCTCTTCTTCATGTCTCTTCTACATCAACATGTGTCCCCTCTTCTTCATGTCTCTTCTACATCAACATGTGTCCCCTCTTCTTCATGTCTCTTCTACATCAACATGTGTCCCCTCTGTGGAAAGAGACTCTGAAAGTTTCAGGAACAAAGATTCTCTCTCTTTTTGTCCTGATCCATTTTTATAAAAACCTGTCTGAAAATGAGCTGATCAGATTTTGGCCACTTCATGATGTCATAACGGTGTTTTGTCTTGTGTAACCATTAGCCAATCACCAACCAAGGTAACCCCCCCCCCCCCTTATCACCTGAATCTCCTCCTAGAGCACCATTGAGTTCTTTGTAACCAAATCTCTCTCAGAGGGGCGTGGGGAGGGGCTTCTTATTTTCATCTAAAGTAACAGACAGAGAATCAGCACTTTGAAAACAGGGCTGAAACAGAGGGGATTATGGGATGCTGCAATGATCTGTTTGGTGTTTCAGCCAATCAGAGACAGGCTCTGTATATATCTGAGACCTGTAAGATATTGATGAAAAACAGTATAATAGGGGACCTTTAATGGTCAGATCAAGTCTGAAATGCTCCTTGCATTTGATCTGGGATTTACATTTCAAAAAGATATTTACCTACTACCATTTTTCTCTCGTGTCTTCAGGCTTCTCGCTCCTGCCGCTCCAGATTTCTCTCTGTTACCCAATTTGGTGACCGACTCCTTTGCTGTTGCAATTGTAGGATTCTCGATGGGCATCTCTCTCGCCAAGATCTTCGCCCTGAAGCACGGCTACAAAGTGGACGGAAACCAGGTGAGTTTGGACATCTGGGGGGCTGCCAAACGAGCTGAAAGAACTCTATTTAGTAGAACAGTGTCATTAAAGAGGCCCTATTGTGTATATTTGTATT